CTCATGCTGACTACACGAGTATTTAGTGAAATACTGGAACTGCAGGGGGGGAACCAGAGGCCCGGGCTAGACGCCACAAGAATGACTTGCTGCTGATGTCACTGAGGCCCCCCAAAAACAACCTACTGAAACAATTAAAAGGTTTCTTACAGTAAACTGCTGCGATGGATATTTCTTATTTAAGCCTCCCTGTTACAGGAGACTGCTTAAAAGCATGCTGCAGCTGGCATGCTCTAATAGCAACGAGTGACATATTCCTATAGTGACGGGAAGTCTGTAGAGTAACAGGGATGTCGGGGTCAGCTGCATGTTGGGAAAACAGGGAATCTGGTCAACTTTTTGTTTCTGACATTGCTCTAAAATTCCATCCACTCATCGCTTCTGTTAGCCTGCAACTGCTTGATGTTTTTGAGAGTGTCACGTTAGTTAATGCAAAGTTAAAAAAGGAAAGAAAGTGGCAACACAGTCTTTTGAATCCTTCAGGAAATTTGTCACAGTAGAGGAAGTGCGCAGGAGACACTTCAAAGAGTTCTTTTCCTGAAAGTACTTCTATGTTTTGAATTTCCTTATTAGAAAAAAAGAGCCCCGAGGAGCACAACAGCAACCACAACTGTCTTGATGAAAGGCTCAGAGAAACATCAGGCGGGTTATGTTGCTCTTCTCCCCCATCCCTGCGTCCTCCCCCACTTCCACTCTATCTGTACTTGATTGTACAGCCTCTTCTTGTAAAGAGAACAGCAGGCAATGCAAACGGCACACAGCTTAGCCTCATGTAAAATATATTTTGACATGTTCAGTGGATGAGAGCTGTGGCAAGGACGAGAGACAATAAGCAATCCCAATATGTGGGGGGCGGGGCCAGAGAGTGTAATTACTGTGATATGCAGCCCCACTTTACCAGCATAAGCATACACCATCTGCAGGACGACTTACCCCTAAAACAATGAAATTCCATTCTGAAATGTTTTCCTTTACTCACTGAACTGCAGTCGCAGACAGTCAGTGGTGGAATAATACTTAAAACAGGGAAAGTGAATAACGCTTATCTTGTTCTGCTGAGAAATCTTGCTTCATGTGGATGAAGCAGTACAACAATACACGCATGAAACTGTGAAATGTGCAATTTAATTTATATTTAATTTGGAATATTAGGCTGGCAACAAGTCCAGAGTGTACCCTGCCTCTTTTCCCATGACAGCAGGGATAAGCTCCAGGACCCCCATAACCATTAACTGGATAAGCTGAAGAAAAAGTATTTATGGATGGATAGATGAATGGATGGTTGGCAACACCAGTTAGGAAAAAATGTTATCAGATTTGACCTCTTATGACCTTATACGAAGGGTTTAAACAAAGTTAAAACTTTTAGATTGCCTTTGGTTTCAGATGTCAATTCAAAGCACTGCTTACAGTAAGAAACCATCAGCAATCTACAGGAGCTCTTTTCAGTCAGCTCTGTTTTGTCTGATACAGCACATCTGGCAGTCAGCCACACATCCATTGATCCTGCCTGACTGATCACTGGTGGGCGTGACTCGGTTTGGGAACCAAGTAGTTAGCCACCAGCCCGTAGTTTGACCAGCGGAAATGCCTCTTCTTGCCTAATTAGACCAGACGGGCCGGTCAAATCGTCACGGGCTGCATTTCACTAATTTTAATCCTTCCTACTCCCACTGTTCCTCTCTCGCCCCCCTCTCTCTTCTCTCCCCGCCATCTCCTTCCCCACCACCCCCTACAAATTCCCTTCGGACTAAATTTTCCACTTGGGATCAAAGATAAGGGAGACTATTCTCTGAGAGAGAACATGGTGAAGTAAAACTGTTTATGGCCTTCTGCTCGTCTCTGTGAGAGTCTGTTCTTTTTAATAGAGACAGAGACGAGGCAGCTGGAGGCTGCTGACCTCATGGGCAAAGAGCAGGGAGCAGAATAACTGAAATTAAAAACATGCAGAGTACAATCACTACCAGTCAATCTTTATGAGATGTAGGTTTATGATTTCTTTTTTTTCCCACCGTCACAGAGCTGAATTCTACTCTGACAACATACTGAATGGTGTGGTAAACAGGATGCCTTACAGATGACAGACCTACAGAAGTGCTTAGGCGTGTGTGTATGCAGGAATATCACACACATACAAACACAGACACACACAAACGGGAGGAGAGGAGAGCTGGGCGATTCAAAGACAATGTAATTGTTAACAAAATCAACGTGAATGGCATGCAAAGTAACTGCTCTAACACAGGTAACTACACCTGTTTACCACAAACTAGGTGACATGCATTAGCTTGTTCATTTTTATTCAGTTTGCTGTGTCACTGTCTTTACTTCAAATATCTGAATTCAGATTAGGAAAGACCAATGCCAATCCTTCATCCCTCCTCAAGTCTCTGCGTTATACATAAGGTTAGATAACAGCTAATATGGACAGAGAAGCCAGTCCTCCACACCCTCCCTTATCCGACCTCTCCCTTCCTGGGCAGCAGCGATGGATATCACAGTTTAACTCCCAGTCAACAACCACACATCAAACAGTTATAGTAAGGCTGTTTAAGAACATCCCGATCTTTGTTTTTTTTGTAATTAATCTTAAAAATATAAAATATCTGTGGAATAATCAACTTTTTTCCTAATAAATTGGAAAACACTGGAACATTTCTCACCATTTAAAATATGTACTGCTAAATGAGGAGCATAAGTAGCCAAACTGCTGATTTGTACAAATTGACACAAACATTGTAATTATTTTATTCTCCCAAGTCTTTATTTACATTTTTCCCAAAATAATTGTCGCTCGTCTCCAGAGCAAAGGGTTAGGGTTTAAGTTCAGGGCTAGAATTGTGGTTAACAAAATCACATGACAAGATAAACAAGAACACTGACACAGCCTTTTATGGCTATACAAACACATAGCGCTCTAGCTAGCACCTAGCCTAGCTTAAAAACTGATTAAATCTCTGATTATGTCTAAAGGTGAAGTTAACCGTATCTCTTAATTAACCAGTGAACACATTGTACTGTATTTTGTTTGTCTAAAGTCATTAAAAAGTAAAGTTATATTTCAAGTTGTGGTTTTACATCTAAACACAATCATGCTAGCTGTGCTGCTATAATGCTATGTTGCATTACTTTTAAGTTAAAATAAGAAACCAGCTGCGTTACTGAAAACTCATCTAATTCTTGGAGTTTCTCTTTCACAACAACGCATACAGACAGACAGTTCCTACAATGGAAGAAAACAAATACTATTTTCAGTCAGCCACAACATCAAAACCATCTTCCTATATTCTGTAGGTTCTCAGCTCTGACTGTGAAAGCATAGACACAGATAAGGCCTGTTCCTTCACCTCTGACAGTTTGGAGGGGTAGTTCCACTGGTATAGGAGACTACTGTAGTCAGTGATGTGGTGCAGCAATATTTTAGGTGGATAGTATGTAACAAAGGTTGTTTCCCAGCAGAGCATTCCATTGTAAAGACATTTTTATTGTTCTTTGTTTCACCTGTCGGTGGTTTTAATGTTGTGGCTTACTGGTCTATGTCCACTCTAGAGTCATAACCAACCTATAACTCTGTGCGACCAACACCACAAGCTGTCCTTAAAAAGCTGATTTTACTTTTTTATTGCGTGTGCTGTTTCAAAGCCATCCTTTCATCTCTGAACTCATCCCCAAGGCTCTCCGCAGATAAAAGACAAGAGGACAGAGGGATGCTAGAGGAATGATGCTCGTCTTTGCCACATGCCTTCACCCCTTAGCTTTATCTCAGTCAGCTGCTGCCTGCCAAGGTTCCCTGCCTCAGCCTTCTGCGCCTTTCACATTCTCCCCCTCAGCATCACTCTGTCCATTCATTATGCCATACTTCTATCAATGACTCTTTCACAGAGCCAGCAGTGTGGTGTTCGAAGGAAGGCTCGCAGCTTACATTGAGGAATGCAAATGAACAGGCTTCTTTTTAGAACGGCTCCTGAGATGTCTGCTTTTATAGAGATACTGTCATGTACCTATACCTTTATTTGATGTAAAAGTTAATCATAAAGTAACATTACCTTTCACTGTTATGCTTTATAAACTTGTGATATTTATTTAGCACGTCGTTAAAAAAAACAACAACAAAAAAAGGAGTCTATTTCATGTTATTATCACTCCCATGATCCTCTTCAGCTCAGAATGTGACAGCATTATATTTGGACAACCTCAAAGAGTTTCCTTAATGTCATTTATCATTTCAGTGCCTGGGAACTGGCTTAATGAGTACACGCAAATGCATTTAATTTAGTGACCTTAATAGGAGTCAAGTTTACAGCAATTAATATCTGTATCCATCTAAGTTAGACCTCTCCCCAATCCTTGCTCTGGCCATTCAGAATATGTAATTTTTGTTCTTATGAAATTGTTCTTCTAAAAAAACAAAGACAATAATCATTCAAATGACACGTCAAAAACTATTCACATTTAAAAAAGACTAAAAGTCATTTTTATCTTTCTCCAAAACACAGTGTTGGGGTTAAGAAGGGATGCTAATAGTAATTATTCTCACAAAAAATTCATGTGTTGTTTGTTTAGCCATAAGTCCAAAGCCCCAAAACTCCTCAGAAAACTGAACAAATATTTGGGATTTTTCTTTGAAAAGCTGCTGAAGTAGCCTTCACCTCAGTGTTAACCCCGTCTTTGCAATCAGGGGACAGGAATCTTGTTTTTCCACAAAACATCAGGGTTAGGATGAGGACTGTTGCCAAAGTATTTGCTGTCAATCAAGCCCTAAAAACTGGGCTCTCTGACACAACCAGCTGCCACTAATTCTACAATTGGATGCCATGAAATGTGAATAACACACATCATGGAAAACTGGCATTTATCCTTGTTGTGTGCAGTTTTTTGTGAAACATTAAGTAACATAAAAATTTCCTCTGTATTGTAATTTTTGTGTTTAGCGATACAGAATTTATTTTTCTCCATCTAAGTCAAGCCTGAAACTATTTCCTTTGGCGGTCGATCCTTACCTTTGCCTCGCACTTCCTGTGGGTGGCTGTTTTGCATACTGAGAAAAACACGTCAAGTGGGAGGGGGAAAAGAAAACAAAGGTTAGGATTAGTGACCTTACAGTTGTGTCCAATTTCTTTCTTTGGTTTTATTTTTAATAACAACCAAATTAGTGGGAGAAAGTCAACACAGGAGCACTCTCACCTCTGCAGAAGGAGCCCACGTTATCGACGCTCTGCCGACACACGCTGCACTGCCGCTTCTTCTTGAAAGTCTTCTCCTTGAAGACGTGGGGCTCTCCTTTGCCTGCCTGCTCACAAACACACACAGAACAAAGGTTTACACTGTATTACATGCCTAATACTGGACTAGACATGCTACTGTTAGAAACACTTAAGAGTCCTTGTTTAACCTTCATCCAAGAGTTTCGACTTGGCAGACGTTCAATGTTTTCAGTCAGTCATCCTTACACCAACTATAGCAGGGGTGTCGAACTCCAGGCCACGAGGGCCGGGGTCCTGCAGGTTTTAGACATCCCCCTGGGTCAACACACCTGATTCAAATGATTAGGTCGTTACCAGGCCTCTGGAGAACTTCAAGACATGTTGAGGAGCTGTGTTGGATCAAGGACACATCTAAAACCTACAGGACACCGACCCTCGAGGCCTGGAGTTCGACACTCTTGAATTATAGTCATTTCACTGCAGCGTCCAGTGTAAATTAATTAATTAGAGACAAATAAAAGATCAAATAAAAGTTGGGTGAGTAAGTTGGTTATAACAGTAGCAGAAGCTTAAAGTTTTAACATGCAGACTTGTGTATGAATGAAGGTGCTTCCTTTACTCCCTTTGCCTCTCAAACTTCTGTTCTGGTTGTGTAACTGTCTTCCAGTAATAATCCATGAGATTCCCGCCCATAACCAACTCTAATCCTTAGTGTGTGTGTGAAGATTTGTGAAAAGAGAGGGGGGAAAAAGCAAACGTATCGAACTAGACAGCTAATTAAAGTGAAAGTACAAGAAAATCCCATCTTTTCTTTCTTACGTTTCCAAGTGTACATGTATGTGTGTTTGATTTCATGCGTGTGTGCCAGTGTGGGTACATTAATGTGTGTCGTGTTGTCATTTCCACCCACGGAGTCTTTGTTTCTCAACATGGGATCAAATCTGCATATGACTCTGTGGAGGTTTGCAATACGAATCCATGGGCCAAGTGTGAGGATTGCTGCATAATGGGTCTTATCTGACATCAAATACGAGTCCCTCCCCCTCCACACATACACCGAACACGCACCAGTGCTGTCGTCACCCAGAGTAAACAGCTATATTTAAGAAAGCAATCGTGCTGCTAACGTGTCCATAACGTGTCCATAGCCTTGGATAAGTAAAGTGATACAGAGACAAAAAGGGTTTTGTTGCCTCTGCTTGTGCTTTTACTCCTTGGCAACAAAGAAAGGGAGCTGTTTGCACACTTCTTCCATTATCCTGCTTCCCTGGCTCTGTTCTAGGGACCGGACAGTGTTTGGACAGCTGCCTCGCCTGGCATCACCCTCGTGCCTGCTGTGTGCAGCGGCTGCTGGCCTGCTGCTGTACAAGTGTACTGCGACCGCAGCACCTTGGATGGTGGAGGAGGATAGGGTGGGTGGCTCAGGGGCTGGTGTATGTTATATAATAACACATGGCTGGAAAAGCTCATCTTGCCAGTACTTGTGGGTGACGTATCATTTTAAATGCTGGGACTTTTTATTTTATTTGACTCATATGGTCTATTCTTGTTGGTGCTTTTATCACATTAGCAGACCAAAATCCACTCAGATTTCATTACAGTTTAGCATCATCTTATCTAGTCCTGTTTTGACGTATCTTCTGACTCAATACAATGTTGAATACAACAAACGCTCCTTTGCCTTTCCTCGTGACCAGTCTTGCTGCCTTTATGTAATGCACGTTCTATTTCTATTGCTTCGCAGTGACATTCAAGCCCACTGACAAAGCAAGTTAGTTAAACTCCTCCGGGACTTTAGCATGCATCTATAAAAGTATGCAATAGACCTTTAAAATATACATTATTGTACACAAGGGGGCCTACACTGAAATTTAAAAAAGCAACTAGTTACTGTCAGCTGAACCACAGCGGTGATGTGGGCTGAGAAATAAACACACTGAGGAAAGGCTGGCAGCATTCTTCCTGTTCCAGACACAATCAAGACCACTATATAGTCCCACCACAGGCAATCATGGTCAGACAGTGATATGGGGCTCTGCTACTGAATTCTTTGTTAAGGTGTTTAAAAAGCCTCTCTCAGGCGAGAGGACCTGAGGGTAAAAGCATGAAAACCAAGAAAGTGTAACAAAGGCAACACAATATGGTGATTCTATATGCAGAATAACCTCTGTGTAACAAGAACAAGGGCAATGAATGGATACCAAATGTTTGAAGTGTGGCATTTGCTTGGTTTTAAGATTGATTAACTGATTAACTCACAGAGGTTCCAATGTCCTTCTTCAAACTTGGAAGCAGTTGTTGACCAAGCAATCTCATCCCAAGGATCATTTAGTAGAACAAACTCATGCTTTAAGCCAACACGGATGAAAAGTCTTTCAAGCACTATGTAAAACATGACCATCTGCAAACTCATTACCCATGTGATCACAAGCTTCAGTCATGGTACCAAGTTGACTTGAAGTGAGGTGGTTTTGCACGCTGTAATTATTATGACTCGTCTGTTTGCTGTTAAAAGCAGCAAATAACTGCTGTTTCATTAGAGCCCACAATAGATGGCACCATATGCCTCCAACAGAAGAGTCAAAGATAATAAATAGTAATCGAAAAGTTAAATATGTGTAATATCTGACTGTAAAAATGATGTTCTTTTACAGTTGCACACAGCAGCTGCTACTTTTGTTTATTAGCCAACTTTCCTTAAATCAACACTACAAGGATGCAGAGGTGGGCGATTCAATTCAAATATCAATCTAATCAATATCAAAGCCAGTAATGATATCATACTTTCTATCCTCTAAGTCCAGGATGTAACCCACTGAATTGTGTGAAATTAATTATGTTTTAGAAATGAAACATTATGCATCAGACATACTCTAAAAATCAGCTGTCACACGTCTGTTTTATCAATGTCCTATAGCAGCGGTCCCCAAACTTTTTTTGCACCACGGACTGGTTTATGTCCAACAATGTTTTCACGGACCGGCCTTTAAGGTGTTTTTTCTAATAAATTCAACAAAATAAAACCAGTACCGGTACCCAAAAATAGAAGATTTATTCATAACACAAGGGAAAAGACCCAGGGAAACCGAGTTAACAATAAAATAGATTTAAAAAAAGAAAAGAAAGATAAAACATAACAACAAAAACCCTGAAAACCATGAATTTCACACCTGAGCCGGGTACCAAACGACTCACACACCGGTATCGGTACATGGCCCGGAGGTTGGGGACCGCTGTCCTACAGAACATTCAAACAACAGAATATCACCCAAAGTGCTTTAGAGACAGGCATGTTTACATTCCAGGTCTCCATAAAACCCCAAATAACTAAAAGCTGAAAGGTCTGTTTTTTTTCAATAACTAATTATCATGGAAACAGATTTAGTGGTCATTAAAATGTGTTCAGAATTTCCAATAGTGATTCATCTCATAAATCGTGACACACTGCTCCCTTTCCTACATAAGCTGGTTAAAAGTATGACACAAATGACACAAAGCAGCATACAGGTACGCCGATGCTAGCTGGCTAACATGCTAACTTGAGTTGATGCTTCTGGAACACAAGGCTAATATTGCTCCATAACACTCAGTAACCTGTTGATAATTTTTGGTATTTTAAAGAATGTTTTAATCTCAAATTAATAATCCTACATAATGAAATTTGGTAAAGGTACAGTCAGTCATTTTTTGAGGCTTATTTAATAGAAAAGAAAAATGTTATATTTGCTTTCTTAAATAAACATTGAATATATAGAGTATATAGGAAAATACTAGCTAATGTAGCTGTTAAGCTAAATGTTTTATACTGTGTTAGCAAGCTCAGTTTAGCCCCTTTATCTTTCCTTACCCAAAAAATGAGTTTAAAATCACTTAAGAAGATGGTTTGTATGTTAAACAATATGTTGAGGCAGTTTCAGGATATGACAGATACTGCTTTACCTGACTCCTCAGAGATACAGTGTATCTTGCTAATAACATTAGGGTTCTGCTCTATGTAGCGCCTTAATTATTGTGACAACTGTGTTTAGCTACTATTTAACAAAAAAAAACCAAAAAAAACTTGTCTAACCGAGCTTAGTACGTCTATTTTGACAGTCACAATCTAAAACAATATTACAGATTAAATTAGCTTTTACCTACATAATATCAGCATTTTCCTAAGCTCTGAAGTTTTTCTTTATTTTCGATGGCTCTTCCAAGTTGGGAACTTATATCTCCCATTATTCAACAACAAATGACTGCATCGTAGGAAAGAGCTAAGCATTAGCCAAAAGCATTAATGTCCATCTGTTGTTAGCATCTCTTTTTCATGTATTTGTAAGACATGCCGCTGCACTGATGGAAAGCTGTGTGCAAACTGAGTTCAAAACTCAAATCTCCTGAAACATTCCCGTCAGCTCAACTTGGGAGTCCAGCAGAGGAAACCACAGTGAAGGAGGTTTACAACTTTGTGTAGGATTACAACAGAAAACAGCTGGTAGAGTCTGAGTGCATGAACACTAAAAACAACCTGCGATGCAGAGCCTGGTCCCCAGGATAGCAATTACTGTCACTGCTGCACTGGATAAAAAACATCTTCCTCTGGTAAAGCATGTGTTATCCACCATTTAGTACTCAGAGCCCCTAAAGAAACAACTTGTTAGAGAAAAGAACCACAAAACTCTCTGAACGTAATAATAATTATAATAATAATAATAATAATAATAATAATAATAATAATACCACCAAATCGATTGACTCCGTCTCACTATAGATGCTCATTTTAATCATCACAGTTACTGATGGACAAACCCTTATAAGAATAGGCTACATGTGGCCATTCAAGCTCCAGTCCTAACCAGCTGAGGCCTGTCTACATTTCCAAAGCACTAACAGAAGTTGCAAACATCTACCTGAGACCTCAAGAGGAAAAACTTTGCTCACACATACACACTCACGTGCAGACGTGTATCCCTGCAGACAGCTGGAGAAAACAGACACACGTCCGCTCTCCTCTTCCCGTCCCCGTGTGCTGCAGGAAAGACCCCACCTCCCCCTCTGCAACATCTGCTACGCACAAGTGGGTCCTTTTTCTAATATTTTTAGC